AAACAGCGGCTTACACCAAGAGCGGCTTCTGCGTCAACAGGTTCCCGTCCCTGCTGCCGGGGGGGAACCGGCACAATTCAACGAGCGAGAAAGGTAACGGTGCGAGGAGGCTTGTGGGCTGGAGCGAGGGGAAGCGCCTGCCACTCCCCACGAGCGCCTGCACCAGCAGGCTCAGCGCCGCTCCTCCAGCCCCATGCGCCCCACAGCTGGGCCCTTTCCTGGTGCCAGGGGGTAGTTAGCCGCAGGCCTGTTTGTTTATCCCTGGGGATAATCCCCCGGGCAATCTCAGCTGCTTTTGCGCTAGGTAAGAACATATTTTAATAGGCTGCCAGGTTAACTGACACTCTTGGGCCTTGACGTCTCTGTCGTCCGACAGAGCTGCGTACAGTGCCGTCTTTCTTAATACCTCTCACGGTTGCTTCGCGTGTCACGAGGAGGGGTTGCTGTGTGATAAATGCCATTTTCTGAGACGTGCCTTTGCTTGCTGCACTGCCTTGGTAGCTTTGTCGGGCTCCTGGGGCTAAAGGCTTGTAGCGATCACAGCTTCTGTTAGCAGAAGGGGAGCCATCGGCACCTCTCAGCCTTACGTCAGGGCAGGCTTGACGCGAGGGAGGTGTAACCTGGCGTTCGCCCGTTGGGTTGGGAGGCCCTGGAGCGTGTCTGGACCTCCCTGTGTTCGTGTGCGCAGTGTACTGCATCTTGGACTGCATCTACAACGAGGCGAAGCAGACGTACTACATCCTGGACGTGATGTGCTGGAGAGGACACCCCGTTTATGACTGCCAGGTAGCGGATCTGCCCCCCTCTGCCCTGCTCCCCCTGTTGTTGAGCTGCTCTGCAGCCAGCACTGGCCGTAAGCCCCCAGGCAGTTGGGTGGGCACTGCATCCAAGCATCCTTGCAGCTTGTGGACTGCTGGCTACTGGAATAACTGGATGCATCTTTTGGGGCGGGGGGGGGAGAGCGGCAGAGTTTGGGGTGCTGGCTGGTTCCGCCAGTGAAACTGAGTTTGCAGATCTCCTGGGTAAGTGTGGAGGAATGGAGACGCTCGGCGGGGGGTGGGCGGGGGGG